TCGAAGTGCACTTCCCTGATTATGATATGTGTTGCTGTCAGCAAACACTTGGCATTACTAATTTTTTAAAAATTAAGATTATAAAATTGCAGTGAACTATTCATCAAATTACTACTCGGATAGTTTTCTCTGATGACTCTTACTTCATCAACATCGTACCTTTGATTAAATATATTTCCACAATGATAAAAACTTAGGACCTTTTCCTTCTTCTTCAGATTGATTCTTTTAAGATTGCCTACAAATTTGCTAGTAATATTAATTCATTAGATAAAATCTTTCTGTAGACACTTTCTAACATGAAACAATAAGAAAAGCAAAAACCCCTCTCTACTTGAAATTATGAAAATTTTCAATACCATGATTTGTATAAACCCCATAAAAATCTTCACAGACTATTAGAATATGATTACCTTACATGTCGGTATGTACAATTTCTGCATTCTTATTATAGGAAAAAAGACCGCACAGAAAGGATGGAACAATGGTATGGAAACTTACCATCCTCTCCAACTGGACTCTTTATTACAGACTTATTGCTTCCATGTGTTAAAAAAAAATTCAAGCCTTTAAGCCAATCCCAATCCCTAAAATTTTTGGCATACTTATTAAGCACTGAATCCAGAAAAAACATTTTTTTATTATCACAGCCTATCAGATTAAAGATTTATTTATTATGAGAATGTGTTAGAAATTAATTTTTTAAAAAGGTTGGTTTCTACAAGGCTTCAAAAAAGTATGCTATTTAAAGCTTAACGTTGTTAAAATACCACAAATTACTTGGTCTCAATATTTAAATAAATAATGCCTATTTTGAGTGTTGTACTCTAGAACATATAAATTCATTTGGAGGAATATTAAAATAGATGAGGTTAACACCTTTTTCTTAACAAAAAAAAGTTTTTTTTTTTTTACAGCTGTGGCCACATAAAGCTGAGGAATACAGCATCACATAAAATTAATTCATACAATTTTCTGAAACAATGAAATCTTTGCTCAAACTATGCAATGAGGGCAATGAAATTACCTAAACTCCATTGTCTTTGTACTTTTCCACAAATCAGGCTGCACAATGGGATGCATAACTCCCTCAAAGAAGCACATCTCCAAGTTTTGGTGTGTGTATGTCAAATGAAAGAAGGAAAAAGTTCCCTCACCCCAAAATGAGAACAGATGGGAATGTAAAATTAGATGGGAAAAGACAGTGAAGCTTTGGATGACCGACCGAGAAATCTTCCCCTGAGGGGAGCCAAATATACCAGACCTCAGCTTGTTGTGCTTCCCAGTTAACTTCCAGATTAAATCCAACAGAAGTGCAAAGCAGTTCTTTGATTCCATGTACTGGTTTTGATTTTTTTGTAAGTATATATTTTATCAAGAAACTACCAACAAATACAAGTAAAAAAATTTTATATTCAACATACAGTAATCTCTTAATCACTCTTGAGAGTTTAACTTAGACTGTTAAATTACTGCAGACTTAGACTGTTAACAATAAAAAATTTTTAAATAATAAAATAAATGACCTTGTGAAAAAGAGGCAACAGACATGAACAAACTTAAGATGCAGACACTGAACTCCTTGTATAACAGAAGTGCCATCTGCAGTAAGTGGGACACTATGCAAAAAATAAATAAATGTACTTTCTGTTCATTTTTTCCATATTTTATCTCTATAACTAAAAATACTAATAGTAATAGCAGCAAATTTTCCTACACCTAGCAAAAAAGTTTCTTTATTTGATATCCAATTTTATAGAGCATGACATAATTTTTCTATCTAAAAATACCAACTATAACCTTAAACTAATATTCTCTATAGGGCTGTATTCTCTTCAATTTTTTGTTTTTAATATGGATATGTAGAATTTGAGAAAAACAGAAAATTATGCTCTCAGATATGAATGTATTTAAAAACAGTACTTTTATTCCTAATAATCAGTATATTGCTTAAAATAAAGTAATATTTATAAATGTTTTAAATATTATTTTACTTTATAATAAAATAACAATCATTAAAATAAGATAATTTTTAGGAGCAACTGTGTAAAATTAGCCATGAGCTTTTAAAGCTACTAAATATCTTCCACAAAATAGTATTTGTAGAGATTTGGTGTGTGCTCACTTTCACATGAAATTTAAATTCACTGATACAATAAGGAGAATAATTGATTCTTTTCATCAATATGCTCAAGTTCATACATTATTTTATCCATAATTTTAAAATTCTTTGCCAAAACAACAATCAAAAGTTCTCTGTGTACCTATTCTCTGCCATCTCAAGGAAAACATCTTCACTCTGTTTTATCGTTTTTAACCTTACTAAGTATACACAACAAAAAGAAATATACAAATATGGCTCATTCTAAACAGTGAAAACGGCTGCACCTCACACTTAAGTGATCTCAGTTTAAACAACTCAGGGCACTGGTAATTTGATGCCAGCTTCACTTTTAATTGGGAATGAGACCTTCTGCGAAGAAATTGTTCATTATAGTACCTTGCATTTAGTTGAATGTGTGTAGGAAACAATTACTAAAAAGTAGATTTTATTATTCAGAATACTCTAAATTTTATGCAATAATTATTTCAAAAAAAAGAAGAAAATCTCTCAAGGCATTTAACTTTCTTTCATTTTCTCCCTTATCAATACGTAAAAGCCAGCAAGCAAACTTTTGGGGATAATACATTGATTATATTTCATTAAAATTTACTTTTCACACTTTCTATCTGTGCAAATAAAATTTGAGCTAAACAAAAACTGTGAACATTTGCAAATTCATTCACATATTGATAAGTCAAATTCTAATTCCCCAAATACCAAATGCAGATCCCTACAAATTTTACATTATTGCTTTAACTACTTTTCTGGTAATTGGTTGAATAATTTTAACATGGAAAACAGAGAATATTTTACAATGAATCTAAAACTGCTATCTTCCCCTCGGAGGCTGGGAGGGCACGGGGGCTTTGAACAGAAACTGCACAGGCACACACACAGGATTTACCAACACTCCTGTCCCAGCCCCAGAGCTCCCACTGTCTTTTTTAAACTGGGTAAGTCACAAGCACTCTGAGTGATAAACACTTAATTAAAAAAAGGAATCTGGTTGGCCTAGGTGGTCAGGACTTCTCAGATGGCAGATGCCTGAGGATCTCTGGGCATATTCTCAGGACTGTGAGAGTATTACACAGTGTCTTGTTTTGTTCTGGTGTCTTCATGTTATGATATAAATAAAAGTATATTCCGGATAATCCCCTTCATAACTTTTAGCACCTATTAGTATCACATAATTCCAGGTTCTGATTTGATACAAGTGTTTAGGATCTTGATGATGTTAGCCTTTTATGCTAACCATGTTTAACGCACAACGTGTTGTTCCTCAAACTGGAATTCATACATGTATTCTTGGGGCCTAGGAAATATGTTTTTTTGTTAACACAAGTTCACATATTATTCAAGACCAAGAGACACTAGATTAGACAATCTTTCTAATTCCTTTCCAGTTCAAAATTATGTTACATTCTATTGCAGCTCACTAACATTTTATGAAGATCAAATTTAAAAGGCATACTTAGAGAAAGCTAACTTCACAAAAGGAATTACGTATGTTCTACCTGTTTTTCCTTTATATTTAAATGCAAATACATCTTTGAGATAAGAATAAGATGGCATTCAACAGAAAAAACAAAACAAGGCTGTCAAATGAAGGTTCCTTCTATTAGCCCAGACACTGTTACTTCAAAGGGCTTAGTGGACCACATATTAACCAAGAGTCACAACACTCCAGTTTCTTTGCCCAGTTTTCCCTCTAACTTGAAATAGCATCTTGGTGTTGAAATAATTCATTTCTGCAACATTCATTTTTGTGCAGTTAGTACATTATACTGCTCAATGAATAAAATGCACAATAAATAACAGGTAGTTGTGTTATATAATAGACAGTATGTTTCAATTTTTAATTTATGTAATAAATGAGGAAATAACAGATCTACAAAAAACATGTAAAAATAACAATACGTTTTATTTCTGAATCCACTTCTAGATTATTTTGACCTAGCTTTAAAAACATGTTTAAATTTGCTTCATGTAATTTAAAAATATTTAGTGTTTTCAATTAGAACTTAAAGATATTTTATTGGTAGAAATCAGTTTACTGATTAAAAGTTTAAAAATAAAAACCATTTCTCATATATCATAGTCTAGTTTTTAAATCATACACACTCTTAAAAGAATTCTCAATTTATATGTTTTAATAATATCCATAAAGAAAAGCAAAATGCTTGCAAACTGCAAAACTTTTTAGGTGTAAAATGCATATACTTCACATTTAAAATAGTTACATAATTTTTAATTTATGGAGTTAGGGACAATGAAAATCATTTACTGGTAAATCATCTTTTTCATATGTGTGATACAAATGTGAATAAAAGTTTTAAGTAAAAATTCTCTATGAGGAGGTGTATTGAAATTTTTCCTAATATGTAGGATTGTAACTGAACACTTTTAAAACAGAAATAAATTTTTTAACTATTTCTAAAGTGCTACAAATAGCATAAAAATTACTAATTAAACTAATAAATTGAATTATTGATTTTGAAATTTATTGATTCACATTATTAAATTTGGACAGATTCATTTTTCATTAGGTGAGGGCAGGAGAATCTAAGATCAATTTTATAATAACACATTTCATAATAAGTTTAAGTTTTATCAAGAAATATTACATTTAAATTTAAAAGGGTTTTCCTGTTATCTTAGTAAAAAAGAATATAACTGATCTTAGTTTATTAAACTTCGAAATTTTCAGCTTTTATTATGTTAAGGTTTCTTTTCTAATGATGTAGTTAGACCATTAACTAAAAAACAGTGGAGTCAAATGAAAAATATGCATTTCCAAAAACCGCATTCTTTTATATATTGTGATAAGTAATTTTTTCTTGGAATAGACACATGCAGTTACATAAATGTTAAAATCCATGCCAAAAAGTTCCTCTACCTGCACCGTAGAGCTGATCTCCGACGCAAAGCCGCCCGTCAAGGGAGCCTCGTGACTGATTAGCAGTCGTCCTGTTTTGATTACAGACTGAAAAAGACAAGGAAAACCTAATATTGAAAAGAACACATAATTTCAAGTATATGATGGTAGTTTTGATTAAGAAATAAATTATTTAAATTCAATACTCTAAACTCTTTCAACTGGACAGTCATTTGACCTTTGTACTTAAAAATTTTTTTCAATATAGTTTATAATCCAAGTACAAAATAAAAATAAGATGTGTAATTCTATGAATGTCACCAAAAAATGTATTTCATTATAAAATACTGTATATTTGCATAAAACCCAAAAGTCTTAGGAAATATTATTGTTTTGTGGAGAAGGAAAACAGAAAAATAGCACATAAATGCTGCAGCAGAGGTAGCTCACGCTATCAGATATTCGAGGAGCCCTGGGAGAAAGAAATCACTGTAAACGTACAAAGCTTACAACCCTCTTCGTCCATGTGCACTAAAATCTGGTTCAGAAGCTCAACTCCATTTTCACACAGAAAATGTCACAGATCATAAAGATGTGTTCTCAGTACCAGCACAGTGTGGTTGCGTACACTGCGCATAATGCACCCTGTACAACAATAAATCAGGAAGTATTACAGGATGCCAGCTCTGTTGGAAGGTAAAAAATATTAAAATCAGCAGCAAGTTATTACAAGTTATTACTTAAAATATGCTCAGCAATTACAATATTACCAAAGAGAAGTGGTAAGTCCTCCTCTACATTGCTAATAATTTATCACCTCCCATAAATTCTACAATACCACTTCTGAATATGGAATAGAATCTTCTAAACAAAATATGTGTATATTAATTTTTCCCTTCATTCTAGGCAGAGTTTAGAATTTAAAAGTATGCAGCAGTTTTAAATCAGTACATGTTAAACTCTAAGATATAGCTAGTAGCCATGACAAAAATAAGTTACTGTAGCTACTAAGTAAATAGCAACTGAAAAACATAAAATTTTATGACATCGTACCCACCCCCAAATGAAATGCTAACCTTGGAATACTGGTGTTTGGATTTTTATGATGGTAACTAATTACGCCATTTATGACAGTCACAAATAAAGTTTCAATGCACCTGGTTAAAAATATAGAGACAAAAATATTCTGCAATCACACACAAACACACACACCAATGTAGTCTCAAAGAAGTCTCTAAAAGATGCCCTGATTTTTTTAAATTGCCGATTTCAAAAAAAAAAGACAGATTAGACAATCAGATCTTCCTTACAGCTTGAAAACCCAGACTTCTGCCAATGTGCCAGTGTTTAAAGATGACAACTAAAAATCTGTCTCAGTTGGATGGTGCACCTTGTATTTTTAAGAGGTAGAAATGAAAACCTCTATAAAAGTGCTACTGTTACCTTAAGACTGCACACAACAGAATTGGTACTCTGAGCTGCAGCCAATCCAAGATCACATGACAGCCTTTAGAATGATCCCTTAAGGCCAGTAAGCAACCTAGGCAGACAGTATAGACTTCCTATAGCCTACAAAGTATAATGGGGAAGCTAAGCAGAGATGTACCCAGGACAAAAGCTTCCAGCTTTGGAGTTCATGCAACATGATGTTTAAGTAGATGAAATCCAGAGACCTGGAATGTCTTTCCAAAGCGAAATGGCTAAATAAACCAAGATGTACCAACAGTCAAGTATTACACAGCCACGAAAAAGACTAAGACTGAGCACATGAAATGATGCACGTATGTTCAATAAAATAAGCAAACTGCAGAAAAATAATCTCATTTTTATGAAAAGCAACCACCCCAGCAGTGAGGGCACCAACAAACATAGCCCCATATATATATGGGGGAGAGAGAGACAGAGAGACAGAGATGACATGTGTAAATAGTCTGGAAGGATTCATTTAAAAATACCAAAACTTATTTCTCATGAGGAATGACAATAAAGGAATTGTAGGAAAGGGACTTATTGAAATACTTATTGAAAATATTCTCAATAAGTACACAATAAATGAAAATTAAAGGGAAAGCATTTGAATTAATGTCGAAGCAAATACATATTATGTTGAAGTCATAATTTCCTTTAAGAAGCATACGCTGTTTTTCATGGTATTTTAGAACTAGTTTAAGATACAAGGGAACCCAAACTCCAGCAGCAAAAAGGCACACTAAAGACACATGGAACCGGCAGCCCTTCCCACGACAGTCTTCTGCGTGATCTGCTGCAGGACAGGATCATATTCCACTCATCTCTTGACCCATAAGCTCTTGGATCCTAGAGAAAGTGGGAAATAAGCTATTGGTATATCACAGAAGTGAAGTTCTTCAACATGTCTGTATGTGTGTTATGTAAACTTATGTGTTCTTAAACAGGAGTTAAAATCTTATAGTTGCAGAAAAAATCCAGAAATTTCTAAAACAGCAAGAGCTGCAGGGCAGGCACAATGAAGTGGAGTGGGGCCGTGAGTTTATAGAAATGGCCGTGGTGCACGTGCCAGTGAGAGAGGGGGTAGAAAGGAGAGTTGGAGGGACTGATCACAGTCTAAGCAGCAGACTGCCATGGGAGCCGCTCTGTGCAAGGCTGTGGACTCAGCACTTTACAGCGATTACTGCAGTTAGTGAAGAAAGACCCTGCGTTTCATTTTTGCTTCTTAAAATCAACTCTGATATCTGAAAAGTATTAAAATGTATAAACTAAAATTACATAAGAATTCTGAAAATGCTACAATTTAGAAGTAACACTGATGTTTCAAAGTCATACCCTCAAATACAATTAGCATATATCATGAAAAGATTGAATCTATAAATACAGTTCAATGATTTTGTAAGGTATAATATAAATTCAACTTGGTACATGCTTTTTATTCTTCACAATTTTAATTTACTAAAATTTCTGAAGATGGCCTCTTTTCTATACTTCTGAAATTAGTAACACTTTGTTATCAGTATAATTAGATTAGACAAATATACAAAATTGAGGAGAATGTTACTGTTTTTGTAGTTTAATTAGATATTTTTATTAAATTACATATTTTTGTCAACCATAAAGGCATTTTTACCTTTAAAAATTACCTTTTACACTGAGGGACAATGATATGTAACTGCTGAGAAATTTTTCTAGCCAAATTGCATTTTGGCATAGTTAGTAAAAATGAATAATGTGCCTTTCAATGAAAATAGCTATTAAATTTTTTAAAATAACTATAAATACAAATAACACTTTAAAAGCGATTGTCTCTTGTACAATAAAATCAATCTTAAAGTTTCAAGTTTTCTTCTGAGATAAATGTATTTCACCACTTGAAAAAACTGCAAAGGTTGAAATAACTTGTCCATGTGAAAGTTGAACTTATCTAAGCCAGCAAAAATTACCAAAAGGCTGGATTTTCCAATATCTGCTTCTTCAACTTACTGCCACTAAAGCCTGTTGCAAGGAACCTGGCCTTAGGCAGAAAGAGGTGACCAGTAAGTTAGACAGGACAACGGTACCAGGTAAGACTATACAGTTAAGACTAGACTGTCAATAAACACTGTGTCCTCTACCATAAAACAAAGGGGCTTTGTTCCCTACAGGGTCTCAAAAAGATGTGTCAAGAAAACTTAAACAATTCTAAAAGGCAAGGAGTGAAACAACCAGTAGGTTGCCAAGTCGATTAGCATTGGTCTGCCTTGGAATTCTCCCAAGAAATCTCAGTCTTTTTCACTATTTTAGTTAGCCGTCCCCTTCTGCAGGACAACAACAGAATACTATTCCAACAGAAGCTATCGAAATCTGAACACTCCAAAGAGTGCACCATCGCCAACAAACGAAGCATCACAATAGTCCTGTTCTGACCAAACCCCGAAGGTGCCTTGTTTCTGACTGGGCCACTTTATAACTGTTTCCCATTGTCTCCTACCCAGATGTCATTACTAAGGGCTATAATTTCAAGTTATCTAGGCAGAATATCTAGCACAATGCTCAGAATATGGTAGACACTCAAAAAATTTAATTGGTTAAAAATCTATTAAAACAATTTAACTATATTAAGCATGGCCTTATTTAACTTACAAAACTATTGCTTTCTTGGCAAAAATCTATTTTTCAAATAGTGCAAAAGTATACTTCAGCACACACAGCCTATAACAATTTAAATGTGAAATAATAGTCTCCAAATTGAGGATATTTTAATGTAGCTTTAACAATAAGATATCCGTGATAACAGGAGAATTGCTAAATTATACTCCATTAAAATTATTGCACAGATTTTGGCTGTCCAAACATTGAACACATGTTTTAATGAATGTAGCCTTTAAAGATTTTAACACAATCCAACCAGGAAAACTGTTAAACTGTCATTCCAAGAGAAGATGATGCAGACAGGCAGACCGTGAAGCTTGCATATGCCTGAAAGTGTAACAGTGACATTAAAAAAACAAACATATTGATATATAGTATTTATTGCTTACTCAAAATATATAGCAAGATTTTTTCCCTACAGAGCATTTCAGCCTGACCAGCATCAAGTTGTCACCTTTTCTGAGTGCCGTAAATAGGAAACTAACACTTCAGATAGGCAATTTATACCTCTTCGAATGTTTTCTGTCTAAATATAAAGCTAATGAAAAGCAAGAGAAACATCAAGACTGACTTTTTCTGTTCCTTTGAAAGCAAATCTGCTTATAAATACATATGAGCAGAATAGTAAAATTATAAGCTTATGTTTCATTAATCAAAAACATTAACATTTACTTATACAACTTATAATCATTAAAAACATAATTTTCATTAACTCCAAATATTATTGAAAATGAATTAGGTTTTTGAAATATTTTCTTGTTTAGTAACCAAATGCATTAAAAAATTAACCAGAAAAACCTCAAAATTAATCCCAGGCTAACAAATGTATTAATATATGCCTCCTAACTATTGTTAATCAGCGATCTGCACACACGGTCAGACCATGAACATCACGATACTCTACTGGAGAGATGCCAATGCTAAAACAGAAATAACAGTCACGAACTCCGGAGAAAGTTCGAAAAAGCCCGTTTTGGCAAGGGTATTAGCAGCGAAGTTACAGTTAC